GTAGTAGTAGTAGTAGTTGTAGTCGCAGTAGTAGTAGTAGTAGTTAGTAGTAGTAGTAGCAGTAGTAGTAGTAGTAGTAGTAGTAGTAGTAGTAGTAGTAGTAGTAGTAGTAGTAGTAGTAGTAGTAGTAGTAGTAGTAGTAGTAAGTAGTAGTAGTAGTAGTAGTAGTAGTAGTAGTAGTAGTAGTAGTAGTAGTAGTAGTAGTAGTAGTAGTAGTAGTAGTAGTAGTCGTAGTAGTAGTAGTAGTAGTAGTAGTAGTAGTAGTAGTAGTAGTAGTAGTAGTAGTAGTAGTAGTAGTAGTAGTAGTAGTAGTAGTAGTCGTAGTAGTAGTAGTAGTAGTAGTAGTAGTAGTAGTAGTAGTAGTAGTAGTAGTAGTAGTATCAGTAGTAATCGTAATAGCACCAGCAGCAGCAGTAGCAGTCGCAGTAGTAGGCACCCCTGGGACTCCCAGGGATCCCCTACTAATCCTTTAGAATGCTGAGGGGATTTTGTAGACTCCCCTGGAACCCTTAGCAGTCCGACGAATCTGGGGCAAGTCTCGGAAGTTTTCAGGGAATCGCAGGAATCCCCAGGCATCCTCAGGGACTCATTAGTGATCCGACGGATCCCTCAGAGCCTAGACGAATCTAATGGGAGCATTTGGACTCCTACGAATCTCTAGGAAATCCTTGGAATCCCTTGTGGGATTCCCCAGGATTCCTGGAGATCCTATCCTGAGGAGCCCTGGGAATTCTGAGAGACTCTTGGAATCATTTGAAGAATGCGGAGAAATCCGTATGAATCTGTAGGACCCCGTACGAATCCTCGGGAATCTTACGGACACATAAGAAGATTAAGACGGATTCGCAGGACCCCTAGGAACCCATCGGAAACTCAGCAGTGGTCGCAGCGGGAGACGAATTTGTTTCCCAAATCGTTTCCGGCCCCAATCCGTCAATAAACCCTCGCCGTAAATTATAAGATTTCATGGTGGCAACGGGGCTATGAAGAACCAATCTGGGTGAATCATCGATTTCCTGGAACATATGGGAAATATGAGAAGTGAAAGGGGAAGGGGAAGACGGGCATCCATAACCTATGGCAAGCATTGTGGATCCTGGGGCCTGTGTCTGTCTATTTGTGTGCCCCCTGGGCCCCTTCCATCAGCACGAGGGCTCCTCCTCCTCCTCCTCCCCCCCCGTCTTCCCCTGCATGCTCGACCACGGCAACCGCGCGGAGGGCCGCCAGGCACTGCCGAGGACGTCGGACGGCCGCTGGGCCCCGCCCTTCGGTCCTGCCCGCCCCTGCGTCCGCTCTGCCCGCCCGCGTCCGTCGGCACCGCCTGTCGGCTGCCAGGCCGTGTCGCCGACCTGGCGGAGGGGCAGGGAGAGGAGGGACAGGACGAGGAGGAGGCGGAGGAGGAGGAGGAGGAGGAGGAGGAAGAGGAGGAGGGAGAGGGGGCGGGGGGGGAGAAGGAGGAGGAGGAGGACGACGACGACGAAGACAAGGGCGAGGGCGAGGAGGACGAGAAAGAGACGGATGGGGAGGAGGGGGAGGCGGAGGAGGAAGAGGGGAAGTATAGATGGAGGACGAGGATGAAGAGGCAGAGAAGGAGAAAGACGGGACGGATGAGGATGAGGAGGAGGGGGAAGGGAAGGACGAAGAGGGTGAGGGTGAAGTCGACGTGAAGAAGGATGGGGAGGAGGAGGTGGAGGGGGAAGGGGAGGAGGAGGAGCAGGAGAAGGCGCAGGAGGAGCTGGGTGACTGCCTGTGGCGGTGCCAGTGTCTATGTCTGATCCCGTGCCCCCTGGCCGCGGCGGCCTCCCCGCACGCGGGGAACGCGGAGTGCCCTGGCCAGCTGCCAGCTCGGCCTTGGCCGCACGGTGGGCACGTCAAGTAAGAAGCCAGCCTGCCAGCAGGTGCCCCACGAAAGTGGGTCTGGGAGCTCTCAGAAGCCCTGTGGCACCCCAAGAAGCTCAAACGTTCACGAAAAGTGTACGGTAGGTTCGTGCGGCGTTGGCTCGCCGGCGGCGCTGGTGAAGGCGTTCAAGGTTGCATACCGCGACGCGGGAGCACCGATAGACACTTCAACCCTGAACGATCGGGGCCGCGATCGACTCAAGGTTGAACGATCGACGCGGAGTCAAAAAACTTTGCGCGCGCCAGCGCCGCGCGAACCTACCGTACCCCAATGGTTCTTCTGGCGAGACTTTCTATCATCTGTGTCTACTGTGTATCTAGGCGCCCCGTCGTCATTGTATCCCGCCTCATCGAGGCATCCAGTGTATCAGGAGGGAAAATACACACAGACACACTTAATCGTCGACTCCCAGGAAATAGGGGAAATGGGGGGGGGAAGACATAAACCCAGAAAATATAGGAAAAGATTGGGAATCCTGTTATTTGTGTGAGTATTTATTTGTGTGTCTCAGGGCCCCTTCAGTGTAGTAGGGACTGAGGGACGCTTCTGGCCCAACACGCTGCGGCGCGACACGCTGTCCACGCCCCCATTCTTAGAGGTCAGCGTTCCGAGCTTTCCCGAACCTCCCGCCCCGCAGAGTGGAGCGATACGCTATCCCCTCGCAAGGCACAGCGTGTCGCTGGGGCTGCCGCGGCGACACGCTAAGCAAGAGTTCCCGACCGTAACGCGACACTGCTCACAAGAGTCATTGCCCGAAGGCCAGTTGATCAAGTTTGTTTTTCCAGTTCTTCTCCTTGTTCCTGGTTCCACTCCCGGAGCAGCTTATTCCAGTGTCTGGGATCATTTTAAAAATTGCTTCCAAGTTCCAGAGGGTCTTTGGCGAAGCACCCAGAGGATTGCCCTGCCGTTTCCGGGGCATATTAGGCTCGGACCCTTCCTACGCCTCCTCTTCGACACGCATGCATCCACCTCCCCGACGACGAGCGTGGCGCGACTGACCGACAGCCTGTTGTGCCGACCCTTCCCCTTGTGGAGTGCCTTGGCCGACCGTGGGGCTATGCTCAAGCTGGGGCATGGCGGCCTCGGAGCCTGCAGTCGCTGGCCCGGCCATATGCACTTGGGGCGTAGGTGTGCGTGGGCACTCCTCTGACCTCCCCGCGAATGCGACGGCGACACCGTGCCACATGAGCTTCCGCGTGGTCCAAGGTGGCACACACAAACATATATATATATAAGTACGTTCGTATATACACGTTTTTACACATATGAATGTGTTTATATATAAATATCTATACATATATATATACATCTATATATGTATATATATATATGTATAAAGATATATATATGTTATATTCGAGCTGCGAGGCTGCGGTGTATTACATGGGGGCTCGCACATTGTGAGGCAGCGGCGGGGACGATCGTGGCGCAGCTCTTGTGCCCGGCATCACCAGTGGACCCAGACGATACCGATATCGTGGCCGCCACGGGGTCTCCGCTATCGTCCAGAAGCTCCATGTTTCACTGCTCAAAATCTCTGCTGCATATGTAATATGGTCATATGTAGACATATGAAGAAAGGTTGCAATGATAAACCGTTCTACGTAGCCGTTTTTCGAATTGATTCCAAAATCGTGCGGCCTCTATACACCATGAGGGGTGAAAATCTCGACATGGGGGAGCAGCCTCGATGCAGCCTCGCTGCAGCCTCGATGCTAAAAAACGTCCTGAAACCTGACGTGGGGGTGTGCCAGGGGGCCGATGTAGGTCTCCGCTGCGGCAGCCACATCACCCTCGATCGGTATGTCTCCCATACGGGCAGGGTTTATCCGCCCCGTGTGGAAGGGACCCTGGCACGTCTGGTCCGAAGTACGCGGGGCTGCCATCGCCATCACTGCGCACAGCGTGGTGCCTTTGCCATGACAACGCGCAGGCACGCGCAGTGCTTCCCCCAGGACCAGTCGAGGCGAAGACATTCAGCCGCCTTGGTTTGGGCAGCGAACTGCGCTCGTAGCCACTACCAACCCATCAATGCTGGCTGGACCGGTTGTGGGCCGGTCGGCCCGTGTGCGCCGTATCGGCGTCATGCGCTCCCTTTCGGCGAGCCAGGGTGGTCGACGTGAAGATTTCGTCTGGCACTACGCGCCTGCTCGGCTATGCGTGAGCCTGGCACACCCTGGGGCACAGCCTGGTCTTTCTCCCTCAGCGCCACCAGGTTTGAGGCAGCTCGGGGCTTGGGAGCCCTTGTCTGAGCTAGGCTGGCCTGGGCCTCGAGACGCCTGCCTTCAACTTCGGATGTGTTGCGGAGGCGCGGGGATTGAAGGCAGCCTTGTATGAATCCCTGCCAACGCACCTTCACGCTGTTCCGAGTGGCTGTGGTACGAACATGCTCATGGCACACTAATCTACACGCATGGCGTCGTCGCCGTCCTGTCAGGAGATGTCTCCGCCCATGTCCCGAACGACCTGCTCACACGGCATCGTTGATCTGACACACACACACACCGCCTTTGCAGCCCGAGTTTTGCAAGCGCTGCGAGTAGTCATGAGAAGGGTGACATCGAGAGGGGGGAGGAGGACGAGGATGACGGATGAGGAGAAAAAGCTACACCAGGATGACGGAGTAAGTTGAGCATGAAGAGGCGAAGGGGGAGTCGGTATTGTTCCAATGGAGCTATATGTTATATTTTCTGGACAGATGACAGCCAATGCCTTGCGGGCTGCGGTGTTTGATACTGCGGAGGTGAAAGCGCAACGACCACTGTGGGCCAGAACACTGCGAAAACTAGCCACGCTGATGTTCACGAGTTCCGCTCACTCCTTCGGCTGCGCGCACCTCGCTCGTCGCATAACGTGGGTCACTCCTCGCCCCATTGTGTCTGTAGGAGATGTGGTCGCAGAGGGCGACACCCTTCCCAGAGGTGCTCTTGTTCATCTTTGGCCCGTCCTTTTCCCCTGCCTCCCCGGGGAGGCGCTGGAGCACGCGAAAGCGACGGGCCACCAGAATTTCGGACAGTACTGAGCAGACTGCCTGGGGAGCAGAGGCGCCAGTCGTTGTGCTGCCTGTCCATGGAGGGCTGCTTGATACATCGGCCCCTTCGAAGGAGGTTGGTGCGGAGGTGGTGAAGCAAGCGGAGGGCCAGGTGGAGGATTCTGATGAGGACGAGGAAGTGCAGGGGGAGGAGGAACGGAGAAGGAGAAGGACGAGGAAAGCAATACAAGTGGTACGAGGCAGAGGAAGTGGAGGGCACTTAAAAGGACACCGGAAGCAAAAAGGAGAAGAAGGACGAGGAAGAGGAGCGAGGACGACGAGAAGCAGGAAGGCGGGGAGGATGGGCAGCAGGATTGGAAATGGAAGGGCCGCCCGCTGATGTCTCGGCGGAGTTTCTTCCGATCATCACCGCCTACGCCGCGACTCTCGAGGGGGCCGGCTACGTTTAAGTCGGGCCTGTCCCTCTACAGGGGAAGCATCCGACAACAGGAAAGAAATAGTCAGGGGACGACTTTTGATCGTTTTTCGAATTTGTTTTGAGTATGTTTGTATTGTCTTGTCTTATTGCTCTCCGAAACTCCGCCAGTAGGGGGACGGGCCCGACCTAAGGCTACGACGGATCTGCAGCGCACCCGGGGGCCTTCCGCTGGGCACCGCCGCAGGGACGCCCCGGGCGAGGGCGGGATGCCAGCGCCGCAGCAACAAGGCAGCGGCCTCCTCCTCCTCCTCGACCTCCTCCGCCTCCCTCGCCCTGCCCTCCTCCTCCTCCTCCTCCTCCTCCTCCTCCTCCTCTGCCTCCTCCTCCTCTGCTCCTCTGCCTCCTCCTCCTCCTCCTCCTCCTCCTCTGCCTCCTCCTCCTCTGCCTCCTCCTCCTCCTCCTTCTCCTCTTCGTCTTCCTCCCTCCTCCTCCTCCTCCTCCTCCTCCTCCTCCTCCTCCTCCTCGTCCTCCTTCCCCTCCCTCGCCCTGCCGTCTTCGTTGTCATCCTCGCTCGTCCCTTCTACAAGTTGCGTGTAACAAGTAGACAAGTGGGAGATTCTGAGCACTGCCCGCGTCTCTCTCCTGAGGATACCTCCGGAGTCGCGCGCCCCCCTGCGCGCTCTGTCTTTGCCCAGTGCTGATTGGTACGAGTGCGTTTCTCTGATGTGGTTGTTCCGATCCGAACGTTCGTGGTCTCTCCAGAGTGGCCGCCCCCGCTGCAGCGCTGGCCTCATGTTAGGATCGGCACTCTGCCTGGGCCGTTCAGAAATAGCGTTCTCGCCCCAGCGCTGGCAACAGTTCTGGATCCGAGCGTCTCCGCGTCGTTGACGGCCCCTTCCTTTCCCCTACCCCGCCTTCCCCTGGTCATCCTGCCCCTCCCCCTCGTCCTTCCCCTCCTGCTGTGCTTATTCCTCGTCCTCCTCCTTCCTTATCCATCTCCTCTTCCTTCCTTAGCCATATCCTCTCGATCCTCCTCCTGCTCATCCACCGCCTGCTCCTCCAATATGCACAGCTTCCTTTTTTGAACAGGGCTCCTTTCAGGTGCTCAGGTCTGCTATGGTACCCGTTGGCGAATAGCGGGAAGTCAGCGCATTGAGAAGGGATGGGAGGGAGGAGCAGGATGTCAGATGTGGCTCGAGCGCGCCTAGCCTGCCCTCATCCATTCCCTGTCCTCCCAAGCAGTCCTTCCTCATCCTCCTCCTGGCCCCCCTCACTTCTCCCTCTTCCTCCCTGCCTGCCTCCTCGTCTCGCCCGTCCTGGCCCTCAGATGGGACTTCTCCCTTTCCCCCCATCCCCCCTGCTGCCCGCCTCCCCACCCTCCCTCTGTCCGAGAGCAGCTTGTATGTAGAACTTCTTGCTATCGCCGAGGAGACGTGTAGGCTACGTCGTGTGTCCTCTCTTCCTGGTTGTGCCAAACAAGGCCTTACTGTATGTATGAGGAGGCAGCTGAATCTGGTCATTCGCTGTTTGGCGTAAGTATATCATATCGCTTCGCCAGGGCATGAGGTACTTAGGTCTACTGGCAGTAGCGGCACCTCGGCCCCCCTGGTACGACAACACCTGGGGCCGAATCGTTGTATGTTGAAGCCCGCAGCATGCCCATGTTGGCGCCTACTGCGAAAGGAAGCGGCACGGGAAGAGAACCGGAGAGCAATGAGCGTGGAAGGGAAAGGGGGGGCGGAGGCAGGAGGAGGGCAGAGGGATAGACTTGGGAAGAGATGGATGGCTCTGGCCTTCCTCTTACGAGGAATACGTTCCCATTTGACCATTAATCCATGTGGTTCCTGTTGCACGTAGGCCCCAGGGCTCGCTTCTTCAGGTGTCTACCGTTCGCACTGGTAGTTGTCGTCAGTTGTCTACGCTATCTGGCTCTCTCTACGCTCATTGGCCCAAAGATGGGGCCGATGCGGCACCCTTCCCTTTGCCGACCATGCAGGGCAGTACAGCGTGTGCCGCTTGCGCGCTGCACGCGGGTGCAGCTTGTGCCTTGCGACGCGCTTCCAGCCCGGGCGTTGCACGCTGGGCCAGACGACATGGACAGGCCACGGAAGCATGCCGCGGAGGCTTCCGGGGGCCCACCCGCCCGCCATGCCCGAGCTGCTCAAGGGGGCCGCGGCGAGGCGGGCTCCGCCGGCTCCCGCCCCCGCGGCGGGCGGTCGACCGCAGGCCGCCCTTCGCGGGGCCGGCGGGCCCGAGACGGGCGCTGCGCGCGAGGCATGGCGGAGGGCGACGGGACCCCGGTGCCGCCTCCGCCACCCCCCATGCGGGCAGGCCTCGATGGTCAACAGCTGGCTTGCCAGGCACCAGGGGGTCTCGATCCCGGGCCACGGCCCGAGGAGATCGCAGGGCGGCCGCGGCACGCGGCGGACCGCGAGGGGTCCCTGGAACGCCGCAGAGACAGTGCGCTACAGATTCTCTCGCTCGGAAACACGTTGCCGCCAGGTTTGCAGGCGATAGGTGTTCCGTATTTTGATGCTCCTATTTCGATCAATGTTCCGATTTGTTCACTTCCTCCTGCAGATCCTCTTTTTCTTTTTCCTCCTCCGCCCATTGTTCCTTCAGCGCTGCCTCCTCGCCGACGAAAGGCGTGGAGGATCACGTGCGTGTGCGAGAGAGCGGATGTGAGTCCTCCTTGGCGCTTGGGCCTTGTTTCCGATGAGGGGTTCCCAGAGCCAGAGGAAGGATGAGAAGGAGGAGGAGGAGGAGGCACATGAAGCGGTGTAGGAGGAGAATAATGATAAGGAGGGGCACTCCTGGGGATCTTTGTGATGTCTTGGAAGCCCTTTGGGGTCGGGTTCAAACATGAGGTAATTGAAGCACAACTTTTGTCTAGTGATCTAGAAGGCTGAGCCCGCTTCTGAATGGCTGAGCGCAAAGGAAATACAACAGCCGCAATGGTTTCCTAAACCTTGTGAACATATATGGGGGAGAGGGAGGGAGAAAACAAACACACACACACGAAACAAAGGACCGCATGCCCTCTGCGACGTGCAAAGTTGCAAGCGTCACAGTGATCTGTCGAGTAAGAAGATTGGAACGGGAAGAGGCCACCAATGTCGCAGATGTGTGCGACTTTGGTGTCGTGCAGAAAGCATGGGGGTTCGGGCAGCCAGAAAGGTCGGAACGGACAGCGGGAACTCGGGGAAGTAGACCGAGCGTTTAGAACAGTTAGATCAGGTCAATGCGTTTGAATAATGTGAATAGCAGCATGCATATCTAGTATGACTGGAGGGCTTCGTCGGGTTATACCACTTAGGCGAGGGAGTCGTGGAGGTAGAAGATCTAGTCCAGCTGGATGGGGAGGAACGGGGTTTTGCGATACAGAAGGAAGTAAGTTACTGTGAGGCTAGTTTGGCAGCGGTACGAGTTAATCGGGTCTCAGCAGCCATGCTGGTTATACCGTGTAACATAGTTAGAGGAGTTACACCGAAGGGACAGAGTACTTAGACGACCTCAAAACGTGTGTGGCGTTCGAATACGGAGGGTATACAGGCACCTCGATGTGTTCTAATACCTTGGCGGGTTACACAGGAGCAGGCTGCAGTGTATAGCCAGAAGGGCTAGGGAGGTTGCATGACACATGAGGGGTTACTGGGATTACCAGTTTGAAGATATTTGGAGCTGTTTAAAATATCCACAAGAGTTTGAACAGTCAGAAGGGCCAGCGCACATAGCGGAACGGAGTTAGAACGAATATCTTGAACAGGTAGCTAGACAAGTCCGTTCTGTCGGAGACACGTTGAAGAAATTTGACGCAGACACAACGCACACATTTGGTTAGCAGGTGCTTGCGAACTGCAAAGCGACGAGGCGGCTGAAAGTTACCATAGGGTTTCTTTCGGTCAGATGGAGAAGGGCGGCGTGGAACTGCCTTACTTCTACGTTTGGCCGCAAGTCCAAGCGATTTCCCCAGCTTTCCGAGCGACTGCTCCATGATGTATTGCCGCCGTGGTGTTGGTCTTCTTCCCCCTCCCCGAGGGAACACCTCAGTGATCTTCCAGCGAGGTATCTAAACTGTCCCCTCCTGGTAACAGCCACTGTCAGCCGTTGACCATCTGGGCGGGCCCGAGCCATGCTGCAGCGAGGGAAGACCGTCCCGCAGAGGGCCACCCTCGAGTTCGCGCCGCAGCCGGCAGGGCTGAGGCGCACGCAGTCGGTCCGCCACTCCTCCGATTGACTTGCGGCCTCGCGAGCTGTCTGTGCCTCCCTCGTCTGAGACTCCGCGCGGTACTGACCTCCAGGACACGTATACGTGCTACGATCTTCCAAGCATGGGTGCCAATTGTGCGTCGTGCAGTATTGTACCAATGGCAGCGCATGGGTCCAAAGTGGCACTCTTGTATCGCAAGAGTATGGTTAGGCGTGTGATCGTGGTTCCTGCAGGACTCTCGCAGTCTTACGCTACATTCCAATATCGAGTTCGATGGTTCTTAAAACCAAGGGGATATTTCGTTGGAGAGGGCATGATGTCCTGGTGCCTGCTCCATCATGTGCTCTTTGCCGGGACCATCAGTGGACGCTTTGGTGGCGATGGATTCGTCCCATGTGGCAT